TCTGGCCCGAATAAACTACAACCAGTTCTAATTTTACCATTTTTTCATAAAGAGCCAGATATATGTGTTTGTAAAACTATTCTAGAGTACATTTCTAGGACAAAAGAAATTCGTAACTCAAAAACAGATAATTTATTAATTACTTGCAAAAAACCCTTTCATAATGCAACTGCTCAGACAATCAGTAGATGGGTAAAAATAATATTAAAAAAGAGTGGAATAGACACCAAAACTTTTACAGCCCATAGCAGCAGACATGCATCCACTTCGACTGCAGCAAGGAAAGGTGTCAATTTTTATGTTATCAGGCTATCAGCAGGATGGACTGAAAGGTCAAAAACGTTTGCAAATTTCTATAATCGACCGTTAGCAAATGAAAATAATTACTTACTCTCAGTTTTTAGTTCTTAGATTTAATTTAAATGGTTTTAAAGGTATTCAAAGAAGTTATATTACTTTTAATTTAAAACATTCTTGGGAAAAAATGTTTCTTTTCAGTTATAAGTGGTTTTTGATTAGTCATAAGAATTTTGAGTTAAAAAGTTGCAATGCTTATAAAATTTGATTTGAAGGTTGCACATTTGAATAAAATTTTGGTTATAAAAACAAAATTTCCCTTTTTTCGTTTTTTCTTCCTTAGGGCATATGCAGTAAAAAATGTAATTGTTGCATGGGCTTTAAACATCTACAGTGGTTTATTTTCGGAGACGAGGCTGAAATATAATTATAAGATCAAACGAACTTACCTGTGAAGTTCGATCTTAATTATATGAAGCCTCGTCGAAGAAAATAAACGCCCTCCCAAAACCCTTCTTTTTTAAGATTTTGCATAAAAAAGAAAACCCAAAAATGCAACAATTTGATTTGGCTTTAAACAAACTGAAGTATCGACGCGCAGCGCAAGGTAGGGATGGTACCCTTGCGAAATATCGATTTTATTTAGGTTGGAATGTGTGTGAGATGGTAGGTAGAAAAGGATACTACAGTGGTTTATTTTCGGAGACGAGGCTGAAATATAATTACGATCGAACTTCACAGGTAAGTTCGTTTGATCTTATAATTTTTTTAGAAAAATAGTGCTGATACACTAATAAAATAACGTAGATCCTTAATACTGCGAGGCAGTATTCAATAGTTCCAATAACTCTCTATTGAATTTATTTTCTTCATAATTCGATATTCGGTATCATTCAGTATAGCAGCATGGGACAGAATGCTGTTATTTGGAGTGTTTTGACAGGAAAAACATAAAAATTGACGTAGATGCCATGGAATCGATTTCCGAGAAACGTCGATTGTCAAAAACCTTAACGCTATATCTTCAATGGACAATGGTATCATTGATATAGGGCCATTTTCGATTTTCCCCTATTCTGAAAAATAGCTATAAGTTTTTTATCTATCATTTTTTTTTTAATTCTGTGAAAACATCTTTTAGAAACTTTTTTTAACACAATCCAGTGGCGTACTCAGTTTTTTTTCTATTTCGCTCTCATTTTGAGATATTGACCAAAGTCCGATTTTTTTTAATAGTGTGTTAGAAAGAGACCTATCATCATTTTCCTTACAAAAATAAAGTCCTTTTCTAACACATTGTTCCTCATGAGAAAAACAGATATAATTTTTTTTTTTCTCGAAACCTGTTAGAGATAAACCTATCGTCCCTATCGAACTTTATATCATTGAAATCAGCAAAATCAGAGCTATCCGATGAGCTGTTAATATCTATATAAAGTGTCTTATTGAAAAAAAAACGGTCAATATCTTGAAATCGGAGCGAAATAGGAAAAAACTAAGTACGCCACTGGATCGTGCTCAAAAAAGTATCCACAAAATCATTTTACAGAAATAAAAAAAATTGATGAATGAAAAACTTATAGCTATTTTTCAGAATTGAGAAAAATCGAAGATCGCCCAGTACCATAGGAGATCGGTTCAGCGGTTTCCCAGTCCATAAACTAACGAACAAACAAAGATTTTTATATATTAGATAATATGTTGCTCTTTGTGTTCCAGGTGTTATTTTCAAGTCAATCACAATTTTATTGTTTTCCAAATAAATTAATTAAATGATATTTTTGACGTTTAGGTATTTAGTTTTCTTCAATGTTTCTAACTATTATTTTTTAATACTTTACTTGTGAATGTGAAGTAAAAACTAATGAATAATAAACGGATATAACAAAAAATAATTAGATATTTATTTGAAAATATTTGTAATAGCTAGTCCTGATCTGAGCGATGTCCTCGCTAATAGGTAAAAAATATCAAGTAAACCTTCTTCATCTTTTGATAATGCATATAAAAATACACACTGTTGCCAACGCTTACGGAATAGGCGATCGCGTGTGTGTTCTCGCCGGAACCCCGAATTGCAGCGAATCAGCTGATGATCAATGCTCTTAATAATGAATCTAATTTTAGAAAATATTAATATGCACAGTAGTAAACTACGCGAGATCATTAGCCACATACAAAACGCTATCAGCTTTGCGAACGTAGGCATAATGCACTATACAATTCTGCAGTATAATGAATTAAATTTTATTTTGAAAAATATACCCGCCAGACAACAAATACCGTTTGATAACGTAATTAAATACTACGAGACAATGTCCTCTCATGTAATAATTCAAAAGGAATTAATTATTTTTATTTGCAATCATATATGTAATCTTGTCATTACTGACTTTTCAAAAATTTGGAAGTGACACTTTACCTGTGTCACTTCCCTCTTCGATTTCCCTCACCGATTTCCCTATTCGACTTCCCTCACCGATTTCCCTCACTCTAATTTATTTACCTTTGCTGGCAACAATGAAAACATGTCAGGTAAAAACGTCAAAGCAGCGAATGACACATTTTGGCATGTTTGTTTTATTTTTTTAATATTAAAAAAATTGATTGACTTATCATAATTAATGGTGTGCTTGCTTGCAAATAAAATAGTATACAAACCTCGGAGGAAAGTTTCCATTTCTGTCTCGAGATTTATAGTCATTCTCGACGCTCCGCGTCTCGATTGACTATATAAATCTCTCGGCAGTAATTAAACACTTCCCTACTCGGTATGTAATATACTATTACCATATTCACACCAATAATTAATCCTAAACCTTTTATACAGGGTATCCTTAGATAAACTGACACATTTTGCAGGTAAATATCTGGAAAACGGGAGAAGATAATGAGATGCGGTTTGTTCTAGCAGAATAAGGATTTTTTAAAGTTTTTTTTCACATTATTGCTGAAAAACACCCTGTATATATTATCATCGTCAGAAAGCCTGATTTTTCTACTTTACAAAAATGTATAATTTTTTTCAATTATCTTGAACTTACATCGTGAAAATTGCACTTAGTCGAAGGGAATACCATCGACTAACCAAAAAAAAATTGAGAATTAATTTGTGTTTAATACTTTTGTTAACTAATTAGCGCATAGTAAACTAATGATACAAGTATTAAACACAAATAAGTGCATATTAAACACAAATTATTATTATCTTTTTTTTTGACCAGTCGACGGTACGCTCTTACAAGTGCAATTTTTACGATTTAATTTCAGGATAATTGAGAAAAATTATATATTTTTGTGAAGTAGAAAAGTCACGCTTTCTGACGATGACAAAATATACTGGGTGTTTCATCAAGAATAAGACAGTATGTAATTATTTCAAAAAATCGAATGTCTGTAAAACCAAATTTCAGGAATCATCAATACCATGAAAAAAAACTTTAAAAAATCTTTATTCTTCCAGAACAAAACGCCTCCCGTTATCTTTTCTCGTTTTCGAGATATTCACCTGTAAAATGTGTCAGTTTACCTAAGGACACCCTGTATTGTATAAATTATATCCTATACCCATCCAAAATTATACAATTAGTGTTAAGTATCCTTACCTTTTACTTATCACAGACACTTATTACAATGCTTTGAAAAATGTCCAAATGTTGATGACATTTATTTGTGCAAAATGGAACTATTGAAGCAAGATGAGCCCTGTGTTCACGACATTGGAAATCATTTCCAGTCCAATCGTAATTTCCAAAGGTAAATGTTCAATAACAATTAATAATCAAACATTTTTGAAAGACACGCATGAGAACTTCAACCTAGAACTAGAACTACCCATCATCGACATTCCTGAACTTCTAGAGTATACCACAACTGTAAGACTAAAAACAGTCGATCACGAAGCTCTTCAATCAGCGATTAAAGAAGCCAACAATTTAAAGACTGACCCATTAAAAGTTTTAGATTTTGAAACCAATAATGTGTCAACCTATATTATAATCATAGTATTAAGTTCTTTTTGCATAACCATTATTCTTATTCTATATTTTTGAGGAAAATGTAGTAAAACTAAAACTGAGGTGCAGATTCAATTGCCCAACATTGTTAGTCAATCCCAATTTGCAACCACTTACTACCTTGTAAGACCCTAAGTTATCTTTATACTAATAATTCTCCTTTCCTATGTTAATTATAAGCGTACGCCTATGTCAATACTAATAAATATATAAAACTGCTTAATCAGCGGTACTGCACTGGTAGTACCACCACCTGCATAGGAAAATGCTTGGATCAGCAAATATTTATTATTTAAGCCAGAGCTTTCCAGTAAGGAGCGTTCATTTGTTTTCAGGCATTCCCTGTAGCAATTTGATCCACATATTTTCGTTTGTCACTATTGTATTTTAATTAATAAAATAAATGTTTTTTAAAAATACAAGTTTCTGAATCGAAAATATAATTTGTACACTGCAAAAGTACGCCCTGTCTAATGTAAAACACCCTCACCGAGGCGACAATCAATTCGACACTAGCCTCTCATTCTATTTCCTTTTTTTCTTATCCTTTTATATTTATTTTCAAGACAGGGCTAAGAGGATTTCAAAACAATAGTAGTGAATTGATACTAAACAACATTTCAGAGAAAAAAACGAAAATTTAATGAAATAGAGTTATAAATAAACTAATATTTTACAATGTGTTGATTGCATCAGATGAGACATCAGATAATTCCTTTGGCTGGAAAAAAATAAAGATTGTTTTTTGAGATTTTATTAAAGCAGGAATGAGATGATATGTATAATGTGATTTCAAACTAAATATATTTTTTTATTTTGCAAACTAATACATGGTAGGTATGCTTGAAAACCCATAGTTATGTAGTCTTTCTTCTACTTTAGTGTTTGAAGACCAACTTGAAAAATGTATTCTGGATTTTGTTGGTTTTCAATACTTGACATGTGACTTTGAAAATGTAGTGAAATTATCGAAAAACCATATGGTTTTATAAGCAGTTAGGGACGGAATACTGGAAAGCACTTATGAAATAGCCAACGCAATTCATCCAGCTGCATTTCTGCATCTTTTTCAATTTTTTTGTCATGTAAAACTGCTCTGCTGTTGAATATGAACATGGAAACCGCTTTAAAACAAAAATGTTTTGGCACGTTATTAGACTTTTAAATCAAATTTAATTATAATAAAATTAAGTATCATAGAAAGTTAACACAGTAGAAATAGAATTATTCACATAATACATTAATTAAAAAAAAAAGTATAAAGATATAAATATAAATTTAAAAATATTCACTTCAATATTTCACTTTGGGATTATTCTGGCGGTCTCTTGTGTATCCCCCAACCATGGAAGCACTTTGTAAATCGTTTAGGTTCCTTATTCTTCACAGTTAGGAATAACTGCCTTGGCTGATTTGGTTGCTTGACTCGCATATGTTGCAAATAGACCTGAAATCAATTTATAAGTAATTAATTATCCCTATCATTGGACAATGTGTCAATAATTGAGCTCTGACCATACTTTGTTCTATGGAGATGTTTACTGAAAAATCTGAAATTTCTCAAAAAGCGAAACAGAATATTGCAATTTAATAGCGAAAGAATTTCCATATTATTGTGAATATACAGGGTCTTCATTTTAAAACTTACCACCCCTATTATCTCGAAGTTGAAACATTTTCAAACAAATCCCTGAAACACATCAACTAGAATTTGAAGGGGGATGATTTTTTATGCAAAATTCACCTCCTCCCCTTTCAACCCTTCTTGAAAGGGGTGGTGAATTTTAAAATGAACACCCTCTATGTGTGAGAGTGAAATTAAAAAAAAATCTGAATTTAGTAGAATGCCAATTTTGAAGCCCATATATCGCAAAAATTTCTAGTTTCATGAACTTGGTAGTAAAATTTTCCTATTAGGATAGATACTGCATTCAAGGTAAGACCTGACTAGTGCCACATAAAGAAATTCAATTGTCACTGGAATTTTTCTTCAGAATCCCAGCATTCTCAACGCTAGAGTATGTACAAATCATATTAATGTATAACGCAGGTGGGATAAAATTTAACTTTCTGTTCTCCAAAAACAAACCCTTGTTCTCAACCCTACAGTCCCTCAAAAAGTATTTAGACTCAAAACCCCTCAGCAACCTGTCAAAATGAATAAATTTACGAAGCAGTATAAAAGTTATAAAGGATTGGGGTTATTTTTTTATATCATGGCTTTTGTATTACTGTCAAGAATCAAGATCAAGGATACCCTGTAGACAGGAAATACGCAGAATTTTATTACAAGAAGGAAAGGGTAGAAATTGTTAACTCTTACAGGTATCTTGGGGTGATTTTTAATTTTGACTTGTCATTTTGCAAAAACTTTTCCGAAAGAAAGTCAAAAACTCTAATTTCACAGGGAACTATTTTAAACACAATTACCACCAATAAAATTATTTCTTGGGATAATGTTCTAAAGTTGTATCATTCGGTGATAATTCCAACTGCTTTATATTCTAGCTCTCTTTGGGGCCTCTATACGTAAGAAAATTTGGAATTTATTCAAAACACATATTTCAAAAATGTTTTGTATTTACAAAAAACAACTCCGGGATACATCATACGTTGCGAGCTAAAATTACCAAGATTAGCATATTTTGTTTTAAAAAATGCTATTTACAGCTTAATAAGAATAAAAAATTTGCCATCTTATAGACTGCCAAAAATTGCGCTTAATAGGCTAATTGCACTTAGTAAAACTCCAATGCCTACAAAAAAAGAAAATTGGTATCAAAGACTGCAATCTTTTCTCAGGGAAATGTTGGGCTTCCACTACTCCCTAGACCACTTAAATACTAAGAAAGATGCTGAATACTTACTCGAAAAATATGTTCTTTATTCACAAACTCAAGACTGGAACAGAACCTCGCTTAATACCTACTGTCCATTTTATAAAAAATTATCACCTCACCCATTTAGAGCTAATGAATCAAATTACTTATACATGGAATATCCTTTCTTTTTAAAAAGATTTATTGCTTTAATGAGACTACACAATTCAACTTCAATTTATATTTGTATAAATCATATATCATATAAAATAGATTTTAATCAAGTGTGCACTATTTGCAACATGCACACTTTAGAAACTCTAGATCACTTCATCAAGTTTTGCCCATTATATAATCATGTAAGGCAACACTTCTTACCAGGGATATCCTCTGTGGATTTGGACGTATTCTTGAATTAAACCTCGGAAAAAAACATTAAAGCTCTATTTGCCTCTTGCAGGGAATCACTAAAGCTCAGATCTTTCATTTTAAATGAATAAAATACCTACATATATATTATTGAGGTGGGAAACAGGAAAAAAAAAAGAAGCAAATGCAAATGGAATTTATAAATACGGTCACTGGTATTAGTATGGTGTAGATCAAGACTTATTTTGACTTTGCGTCCCACTTCGGTGTCACAAGCTGAATTTTTTAGGGATGAGAGTACCTGGCAAGGTAACTCTTATTCCGGAGGTAATACAAAATTGGACTGTGCAAAAGGGCACTATCATCAAAAATCGAGATATTGATACCACCGTATAGAGAAAATAATACTTTATTATTGGTCCAATACTCAATAAGGTCTTTGTAGGGAGTATTTTTTTATAATCATTCAAAAAAAATAATTACCATTAGCTCTTATGGCAGAAAAAAACTTTAAACGTAAATATCTCGGTTTCAAGCGTGTAAAAATTTGGTTAAAAATAATCTTTTTTAAAAATACCTGTCATTTAACGAAAAACGAAGGCTTAAATGGAAAAAAAATATTCTTTATAAAAGTTTCGCTTGTGTATTGTCTAGGTAACAGTGCAAACCACATATTTTTTGCTTCTAAATTAACAAAGATATAACCGAGGGGGATTTCAGTAGTGGAACTGTGTACACTAAATTACCACTTCTGATAAAAATTACCACAAATTACCAATAATTTCCTCCAAATTACCACTTTTTTCCTCTATTACCTTTCATTGCCTCAGGAATTACCACTCAATGCCACTCAAATTACCACTTATTACCACTAATTTCCTTTAAATACCACTAATTACCACTCTCATTACCACTAATTGCCACTGAAATTACCACTAAATACCACAAATCTATTTTAATTTTCAAGTATACCTGATATTTAGAACTCAATAATAACATGTTGCTAAGTAGGTATATGTTAATAATAACACGATGTAAATTTTTATACGTCTTTAGGGTATTGAAAAATATAATTGTGTACCTACATTAAAAAGGGGTCCAGTGTGACGTCACAAACACCTATTTGTAACTTTAAACCGCCATAACTCGAAAACGGACCATCGTAGCAAAATGCGGTTTGAATACTTATTCTTAGATTTTTTTGTACTAAAACTTCTATTTTTGGGTCACACCCCCTTTAAGCTGCGTAGGTATTATTGGGGGTATTATTTTAGCGACCTTGCTTCTTCTAAAATAATATGTAATAATACCTATAACAAAGTGGCGACAAGAAAAAAATAATAATATCAAAGTTCGAAAAAAAATTAGAATAAGTGCATACAAAATAGTATATTGTGTATTTAGGTGGAAAAGTGACACATTCTCGGCCGACGGCGTAAGTTGACGGGCGAGGCGTAGCCGAGGCCGACAAACACCGAAGGCTGAGAATGTGCTTTTCCACCGAAATACACATACTATTTTTTCTGCGATCGGTTAAATATCTGTTAAATGGTTGTCTTTTTGTTACAATTATTCAGCAGTACGAGAATCATACAATTATCATACGAGTATTGTTATTCATTGATTCCCTAGCAACTATTGAAACATAATTAAAATACCAGAATCTTGAGTTTTGCGACCTGTCAACCGGTCAAAAATGCTGACATTTCTTGTCAATCGCAGAAAAAAAAACTTTTGTGGTGACTTTAGTCATCATTACTTTCTCTAAAAAACACTTTTTCATTTTTATATTGAAATCAAATCCATGAAAAAATTGTTTTGCAATAAAAAAAATTAATAAGTAAGTAAATTATTTCATAACATTATCTCGACTAGACTTGGGAATATGAAATTTAAGGGATATTAAAAAAAAATAATTCAACATCACTTTCCAGTTTTGACAATAGTTTATCTCACTTGCACCATGAGTTAAACAGAGGTTTAAAGTTTAACAAAGGTTTTTTTTTCGTAACTGACTTGCACCGCAAGTTAATCCTTGTTTAAGTAGGTACCTCTAAACTGCTGTTAAAATAAACCCCCAATTTCGGTGGTTTAAAATCACAGTTAACGATTTTCGGGTCTATAGTGCCGTCCAAATAAAAACGGCATTTATACAGGGTGTCCCACGGCGTTTCTGCCAGGTAATAACTTCGGAGTAACTTTTTGTGCCGCTTCTACCATTTTCGTCCAATTTCACCAGTTTCGCTTCAATTTCGATTTCGATCAAGTGACGTCATCTTTCGAATCTTAAATGTAACTTATGGTATATTATGGCCTTTTTCGTTAGAAAATTAGATTACAAAATCGGCAATGCCATATTTGTTAAGGCTTTGTGTTACGTGGCACAACGGACACTGCCACTTTGTTACCCGCAAAACGTAACGGAGAAGTCAATAATAAGATTTTGAGGAGGTGGGAAAGTTACTGGGTTACTAAGAAGAAAAAAAAATAAAAAGAGAAGAGGGAGTTGGTTGGTGGCTGAAATCTAGAAACGTGATTTCGTGTAAAGGGTTGCCGACTAGCTTCCAATGCGGAGAGGGGTGTAGGTTAATTAAATAACTAAATATAGAGCGCCACCTTCTTTTTCCCTGCAGTACACGAAATCAACCGATATAACGAAAGCAGGAAACTTCTACGGACCTATAGCAGCACAACCTGAAATATAAATGTAAACAAGAAGGAAGGACAAAAGTGAAACGCTTTGCTACAATCAGGTACGGGTTTTAATTAGAACAAGAAACGTGAAACCAGAACAGGTTGACTCTAGAGCAGGTTCGGAGTGAGTTTTTCGAACGCCCTGGAACACTGAAAATTATTTACACTGGAACCAGAGCAAGAAAAGAAATCGTCTAGAAGTATCTAACCATATGTTCTTAAAATAGTATTTACAATAATGATTAATTACACTCAACTTGAGTCCCTAAATAAAGAAATAAAAAGTATAACAATTAACAGCAATAATACCTGAAATATAAATAAATAAGCTCACTTAATGCAGTACCTTCGTAAATGGCCATTTAACCCCAGTGTACAAGTATTTACCTGTATTCAGTGCAGCATGTAATTATGGGATAGTTATTAGATAAATATAAATCAATAATTAAAGTTGAAGTAACAATAAATAGCCTGAGGGGCAAATTTAATATTATGGAATAATATAGAAGGTATAAATACTTAAAATTGAAGTACCTAATAGTACATAACCTGAATGGTAAATTTCATATAACAAAGGTAATAATTAATTGAAACTGAAATAACAACATCTAATCTGAAGAGTAATTTAATATTGTAGTAGAACTGCGTTGTTGTGGTGATTTACTCCAACAAGGGGTTGGTAAGGTTTGATATTAAGACAATACAACATACTTATCAAACCTGAGTAGTCCCTAAACTCTTGGGGAGAACCTGACAGGTGGGATCAATATCTTCCAGTGTTTCCAATGGCCTGGGACTGGATCAGGGCCGCAACAAGAAGCAACCTGGCCCTGGGCACTGAAGTTCAGTAACTAGGAGTCACTAAGGCTTCCAATGGTCTCGAGGAGGCTGAAGATTGTAGGTCCTACTCGAAGTATACAGTAAGCAGCTTAACGTATAACTCTTTACTGAAAGTTAGGGACTAAAGCGTGACAAATAAAAGGGGACATCTAAGGGTAAAAATTAAAGGCTAAAATTACTTTGGCCTTTAGGAACAAACAATTGACCACGTTGCTCTTTTTCGACTCACAAAAAAAATCTGCACAAGGCGATTGGGAGCTAAAATAGCGGATTAGCCACCCTAGATCTATGAGCGAAACTTGGCAACTCAGAAATCGGCAAAATGTGCCTGAGGAGTTTTCCCGAACACTTAATCATGGAAAGTCCTCGACCTGAATGACCTCTGCTTGTCCCTGCAATGTCCTTTAAAAAGGTTCTGTCAAAACTCCAAGGTGAAAGGTACTGGAGAATTTTGATGGTAGTTGGGGCATGGGACTTATTCAAATTAAGTTAGTACCGGTCATTGACTCTATTTGGAGCGCTGTCAATCTAGACAATCTACTCGGATCAGACAATCAGCTGTTCTAGTGTAAATATTGTGATTTTGTTTGTTAATAAATTAATTGTCTATTTATTTTAACCCTACTAACAGGAAATCAATTCCATTAATAAACCTCTAACTCAATGATTCTGGGAAGAATGAAAAGTTTGATGAAAAGTGTGGCTACAACTATTGGATAGAAAACAGTGGCTTGAGGAAGGTATGCTATTCAGAGAGGTGAAGAAGCTTATTTCCTTTTTTTTTGGTGCGGGAAAAATCATCCCGTAACATTTGTTAAAGAAAATGATAGAAAATTATACAATGGAACATATGATGATGCGTTCCGAAGTTATCATTTGGGACAAACCTCGTGGGACACCCTGTATAGATATATATTTTTTTTTTTTTGGGAAAGATTCCATCAAACAGAAACGTTTAAGGTATTAATGCGCAAAATGCATATTTTCCATCAGAAAATTTCAATCAAAATTGAACACCTTTCAAAAATCAACTACGAAAATTCCCTACCAATTGAAGACCAAATAAATTGGTTGATATAATCCACAAGAAAGGGAGACTACATTACTCCTAACCTCCTTAAGTACCTATTATTGCTTGAAAAACCACCAATAACTTTCAACGTGGTTAGTGAGAACACGAGTACAAACTCCAAGTTATGGGATCTTGAAATTCAAATTATTCTTTAGTCTCCGATTGCTCGCTCCGATTGCTCGCTCCGCTCGCCAAATCTCAAAGAGAAGATCCTTGGAAATGTAAATCCACCAAAAACGTAAACGATTGGAACCGAGTTCGGAATCAAGTTCAACAGCGACTTCAGAACATTTGGACTTTATTTCGGATTCCATCTAGAAGACGAAAATATGAAAAAATACGAAATTTTACACGCCTTTGCAGTCAAAATTAATACATACACCTCAAAAGTCTGTAAAGCTCCTCACAAATATTTGCGTATTTGGCTCGGTATTTGGCATCCATCTAGGATAGGTGAAAATCTAGAAAATTGAAACTAGAGAAACAGAGAGACGAGAACACATAAACAGCCAAATATTTGTAGCTATTTGCCGAATGTGTGATGGAGGCTTAATATAACAAGAATGCATTCTCTCTACTTTTTCTTTCAGATTTAAAAACACTGAAACACAAAACTGGACCTTAAATGAAACGAGGCCTTGAAAGTTTCAAAATGAGTAGTAAAAACGATGCTCATAGATGATGTCGAACCAAGTGTTGAACTATTGCAAGTTTGCCACTTCTCATGTAATAAAACCTCAAATGAAACATTCCTTAGAAAATAAAAGTTGATGTTTCTAACTGACTAATAGGGACTCAGAAGAATATTTTACTTAAAGCTTAGTTGAATAGTTTAATTGAAGCTCTGTTACTCCTAAATTAAAGCAAATTCAAAGGCATATCATAATTTTATCACTACAGAACTTCGAGTTATTACCACAAAATTTCCTTAAATTACCCCAAAAATTTCCTTAAATTGCCTTAAATTACCAAAAATTTCCCTGAATTACCACTATATTTCCACTAATTACCATATATTTCCACTAAATACCACTATATTTCCCCTAATTTCCAGTCATTACCACTCATTTCCCATAAAATTTCCACTAATTACCACTATTGTGTACACTAAATTACCACAATGAAATCCCCCTCGGATATAACAATAAACAATAAGATATATCAAGGGTTTATGGGAGAGCAAGATCGAACCGCCGCCTTTCTCGACTTGCTATGCATCTCTCTCAGTGTTGATACGTATGGGATGTCTTTCACTCTGTTACATTATTTTGTATAGGGATTATTAATTTATCCATTTATAGCGAAAAATATTTCATAGGGTATATGAATTTCCAATAAATTGCCTTTGAGGAAAATAAAAAATAACAAGAAAAATTAATCATATTATCAAAATACATATACAGGGTGTTTCACGAACATCGGAACGCCTCTGTTCCGATGTTTAGGATATTTTTAGGTCGTTTAAAAAAAAACGCTCGGACACGTCGATTTTGTATTCAAGAGGAAAACTTTTTGACCCCATTGGGTTGGGTGACTTTAACCCCTCCTTTTCAGATAGGAAAGATGCCGAAGATGGGTCGAGTAGTACCTTGTTACAAAGGTATTTTGATTCTTGTCACAAGTGCGCGTATTTTTTTTGAAAACCAAATGATTAGCTCTCAAGATATTCACTGTCAAAGTTGCTATGGGCTAAATAGGAAACAATTTTCTGGCCCTGGTATTCTCAAATTAACACTTCTTCTAGTATTTTTTACTGAATCGAGACTCTAACACTACAGTTTCAACTCCATCGACATAAAAAAGCAAGAAAAAAAATAATCCTTCATTGTTGAACATTTAGAAAATGCTGTTATTTGAAAGATCTTCGAAACAAGATGCTACTCAGCCCACACCCGCTATCATAATTAAAGGGATGAAAATCAGCCTTGATACAAAAACAAAATAACATACATGGTTTTAACGAGAATCAAAATACCTTTAAAAGAAAGTACCTCGATCTACCTTACTTATCTTGATAGAAACGGTGATATAATGAATAGAAACAAATTGAAATTATTAGAAAAGTGCTTCTGAAAAAATGAAAACTGACGTGTCCGAAAGGAAAGTGTTAATTTGAAAATAACAGGGCAAGAAAATTGTTTCATATTTAGCCCTTGGCAACTTTGACAGCGAATATCTTGCAAACTAATCAATCGATTTTCAAAAAAAAAAACGCACTTGTGATGCGAATCAAAATACCTTTAAAACAAAGTACCACTTAATCCATCTCTCCTATCTAAAAAAGAGGAGTGGAAGTCACCAACGATGGGGTCAAAAAGTGTCTCCCTTAAATACAAAATTGACGTGTCCAAGTGTTTTTTTTTTAATTGACCTTAAAATACCCTAAAACGCATCTGTTTCGATGTTCGTGAAATATTCTTTAATTGTATTTTGATAATATGATTAATTTTTCTTGTTATTTTTTATTTTCCTCAAAGGCAATTTATTGGAAATTCATATACCCTATGAAATATTCTTCGCTTTAAATGGATAAATTAATAATCCCTATACAAAATAATGTAACAGAGTGAAAGAGATCCAATACGTATCAACACTGAGAGAGATGCATAGCGAGTCGAGAAATGCGGCGGTCCGATTTTGCTCTCCCATAAACTTGATATATCTCATTGTTTATTGTTATATCTTTGTTAATTTAGAAGCAAAAACTATGTGGTTTGCACTGTTACCTAGACAATACACCAGCGAAACTTTCATAAAGAATATTTTTTTTCCATTTAAGCCTTCGTTTTTCGTTAAATGACAGGTATTTTTAAAAAAGATTATTTTTAACCAAATTTTTGCACGCTTGAAACCGAGATATTTACGTTTAAAGTTTTTTTCTGCCATAAGAGCTAATGGTCATTATTTTTTTTGAATGATTATAAAAAAACACTCCCTACAAAGACCTTATTGTGTATTGGACCAATAATAAAGTATTTTTTTTCTCTATACGGTGGTATCAATATCTCGATTTTTGATGATAGTGCCCTTTTGCACAGTCCAATTTTGTATTACCTCCGGAATAAGAGTTACCTTGTCAAGTACTTTCATCCCTAAAAAATTCAGCTTGTGACAAAAAAGTGGGAGGTAAATCGATTTTTAAAGCGAATATTTTAATCCATCCACTCTACTATATGTAAACTATCAAATATTTAGGGGACAGTCATTTCAGTTGTTTATTTATGGCTTTTAGGATTAATAAATGTCAATTATTCTTAGTTTATTGGGAGTAAATGAGTACTTGGGGATTGTCAATGATTTTATTTTATTTTTTCTTTTGTTTGTACTTATGGGAGAATCCATCCATGAATGAAATAGTCATTGTGATTTTTGTTATTTTTTTCTATGCTTTTACTTTTTAGGGTTTTTGAATTGGGAACCTCCAACCCACTGGTTTTTATTATCCAATGAGGTCTAAATTCGTTTTCTTTCTTTATAATGTATTTATTATTATTTTTATTTTTTTCTCCTTAGATTAAGTAGCTTTTGTAATCTTAATTAGTTGATTCTAACCTTCTTGTTATGTACGGAACTCTGTACAAGAAACAATAAAATTTTTGAATTTGAATTTGAATTTGAAACAATTTCTTACCTGTGCTGATTTGTAGGCAAGCTTGATCTCAATTTCACTGCATTTTGGTCCAAGCCATAAAAATATTTGCTCTCCATTGTCAAGTATCATTATATCATCATCAGCCAAGTCGTCCTAAAAAAAATCGATACTTCAGTATTTGCAGTGGCAAAATATCAGTAATAAACTTTGTAAAACAGTGTCCAGTGAATATTTTGGGATTTTTTTTACTATTTACTATAATATTGGATGTAATTAATTATTCGTATATAAAAGTAAATTAATCCAGATTATCCAATTTCCATTTTCAATTTATTGGTTTTACCATATTACCTGAACTGTTCGACGTCATTGACCTGAACTTATAAATAAACTAAAGTAATGTTGGGATTAAGAATAAAGCTTCATTTATTGAACCAAATTTAAATGATCCTATGCCATCTTTTTCATAGTATTTATAGTAGGAGATCCGGCTTTACAATAACACCCCTCATCCTTTTTCCTGATAATAGATATATTTTTTTTGCAGTAAAATGCATAAATAAATAAATTCCATGGTGGTTGGCAGTCCATATCCTGTTTAATTAAATATTGTTTAATTAATTTTTTTGTCCCATTCACAGTCATTCTTTTCCTAAATAAATTTGGTATAAATTGAAAGCAAACAACATGTGGAAAATGCCACAGCATGGTTGGCTGCCTTTATTTCCTGGCAAGAATACCTGACAACCAGGGTAAAAAGAAAAACTTTGGCGCGGAAACGCGTGGTGTTCATTCTCTTATTTACTTGTTACTTTTCACCAGTCAGTCAAAAAGTAAAGGTAAAAACAATCCAAAAAAGGAAAGAGTTAAAATTATTTTAACTTTGTCCCACATCGAAAAAAAGTTTAAAATAGTCGGATAAAATTGGCGGGAAACTTTTCAACCAGTAGGAGCTCCGTCATACTGCAGTGACTCAATAAACCTTTAAATACAGTGGCGATAATGCCGCCATTTTGGTGCCATTGCTGTTCATAAGTATATGTATACACCGTGATTTACGCAGCCCGTGCATTAGAAGTTATCCAGATTGCAGGCGGATGTTAGTTATTTATACACCAAGTGAGTTAAATGAATGTTTATTCATTAGAAGAAAGTTTAAGTAAATTTTCTTCGAATAAATAAACATGTTAACTCACGTGATGTATACAAAATTTTATCCCATTTTGTGGAAATTTGAAAAACAAAGTTCAAGGAAAAATGCCGAGAGTGAGTTAAAATCTTTTTAAATCACTGAGGTGATAAACGTCTACTTAGTCTACTTACCTTTATTATTATGCATTCAATAATGTCATTTTTAAACGTCAAAATGGAATAGAATATTATAATTAACATTGTAATTTACATTCAATAAGGTCTTAATTCCTATCTTCTGAAATACCATGCACCATGCCGCCTGCTACCGAAGTATTTAAATTAACCTATTAATTTTACCACACAGAGGTAAATGATGCGAAAACCTCATTAGATAAAAAAAGACGCAACAACGATCATTGCGCAAGCGAGGCAAAACGAACGAAATAAATTTAGACTTACATCTAGCAATCCGTCCTCCTTATTTGCACGGGATAAATAGGGAAGGAGGAAGACCACGTGACGTGCATCGTATTTGTTAATAATTAAAAAACGTTCGAAACTCAAACAACTCTTGAAGTTTATGTTATGTATCCTTCTTGTTATGTATCCTAACTTGCTTCAGGTCAACAATGAACGAACAAAGGTGGCGTAATCTATCTACAGAGTTACTGTAATTTTAAACATAGAATACCTACAATATCGCAGCAATGTTAGATTTGAGAAATCTTATAGAACATTTCCTTCAGGTAATATTCAGGAGAAAATACAGACTCGTCTGGCAATTTTTAACCAATAGGAAGTGAATTACAGCGATAATTTTTCACAAGTGCAAATTATCGATGATTTGCACAAGTGCTAATGCCGATAATTTTTTTCAGATATTTTTTACCTGTTTCAACGAGTTTATTAGCTTTGTACACAGTAAATTAGACATAAATTATCAGCTTTCTATACAGTAGATTAAACTATTTTCCAAATCAACGTTTGAGATCTATTTGTATTGATAGTACCTATTGATCGGCGTAAGGTCTTCGATACTTTTATCAATATCAGCCGCTGAACTCTTCCAAAACGAGCCATATTTGCTTACAAATTCGAAAATGAAACCTTTGTCAAATTTGTTGATTGACAACATATAGCAACATAATGATTGTTTTAAAATACTGTGTATAATGATTCAGGAAATTTTCTTATAAAATATAACTCGTACAATGAAAATATATCTATAATTTTTGAAAAATTTGCACTTATACGTTTTCAACCAAAAATGCATTCGGGCAAATTTCCCAAAAATTATCGATAATTTTCATTGCACTTGTTATATTACTACTGCTAATTTTGCTAGTTACTAGTTCTATATTTTAGTGTTTTAATTTGTAATTAGTTTTTATATTTTATTAGAAGTGTTTTCATTTTTATGTGATCCTTTTTACGTGATACTCAAAGAATAGGTTAAGGGCCCACAAATATATTTTGCCCACTCGTCCCTAGATCCGCCACTGATTGTCGCCACTGTAGGTAAAGGTTTATTGAGTCACTGTAGTATTTTGAACTTTTTTTCGATGTGGGACAAAGTTAAAATAATTTTATCCCATTTTGACGTTTAAAAATGACATTATTGAACGCATAATAATAAAGGTAAGTAGACTAAGTAGACGTTTAGGGCAATAGGTCACAATAGGGCAATCCAACGACCTGTCAAAATGGAGGCCAATGCCTTTTTATTTTAAAAAAATGTCGTTTTATTGCGATTTTTGATTTGTATAAAGCTTAGATTAAGATTATATATAGTTAGCACTAAAAGATGAGTAATCAACTCCCAAATATGGTACAAAGATCTCTCTCCAAATATTTTGATTTTGTCTCTCTTACTTTGTTTACGCTGGTTTTCTATAGTACGATTTCCAAAAAACCGTTTGGATTTTGGATCTTTAGACATCTCTCTCTAAGGCAATATATAAACGAAAAGAACACTATACAAGTCTAGCTAAACAGAGTATATTGTTTGGGTGGTTCCCAATAGAAACCGATTTCCGTACCAGCGTAAATGTCAATATATATTATTGTGTGTTTATTTTATCGACTTTTTTGGGTGTTCCACTGCTTTAAAGTGGAATTGTTTAAAAATTTATCATTTACATGTTTATACATTTCGAGAAAGTTTCTTATTCATGATTCAAAATGACTAATAAGTGTGCAGTGTGTCAGAAAAGAGGAAAACGGATTGTTTATCATTTCACCCGTTAATAAACAAAACCTATGACATCGACATGATTGAAGGGGAAAAAAAACAGTGTCGGAGGTGCATGTAGGCCACAAAAATACAACATGGTACATATTTTAATTATTTAATCAAAGCTTATCCGAACTCCGCTTCGCGTCGTTCGTCTAACTGCTTTTTCGTGCGGGAAAGTGGCGTTCAGAAGTGTCAGTTTTGTTAGTTAATCAAACATTTTATCAATTTTATCTGCATACATTTTTGCAATTTTAATCCATATTAATCTAATTTGTGGATCTTTCAAAAATTTTATAATTTTTTTTGACATTGTATACAGGTATGGTTTTTTTAACGTTCCCATGACGCCGTGCGCGAAATGCTACTTTATATATATGCTACTTATATATATACACTTGTATACCGGGTGTTTTTCAAAACCCGCTCACCCCTATAACTTTTTTATTTTTCCAGATAAACAAATGAAATTTGGTGTGTTTATTTAGGACCCGGATGTGCATTATTTGACGTATTTAATTTTTTACTATCACTTCCGGTTTGACCGGAAGTGACCCTAACTTTCTTATTTTAATTGAGACGCTAGGTATATTTTTCCTCATTTTAATAGAAAACTACATTACGAGTACAATGACACCTCATTTGTCACTTTTTGACATTTCATCACCATATTATTTAAATTTTTACTTTTAAATCTAGAGCACCATGAATAAGTCAAAATGCTTAATTTTGCTCCTAGGAACACGGGAAAATTTGTTTTGATCTTATTTTGTATTTTGTATCCTCTACAGACTCATTTAAAGATAGTAGAAGCGCATTTTTAGAATTATATCAGTTTTTTCAAATGGAAAGGGTATGGCTCATGAGCATGTTCCAAAAGAGCGTTTTCTAACGAGCAATTCAGTACCACACAATCGCTAGTTCATCACTCAAATTAAGAATTTTTCTAGCATTCTAAATATTTTTGGAAAATTTTAGTTCAATATTTGAATAAACTAGCGATTGTATGGTACTGAATTGTTTGTTAGAAAATGCTCTCTCGAAATATGCTAATGAGCCATACCCTTTCCATTTGAAAAAAAAGGTATAATTCCAAAAATGCGCTGCTACTAACTTTAAATGAGCCTTTAGAGGATATAAAATTCAAAATAAGCTCAAAACAAATTTTCCCATGTTTCTAGGAGCAAAATTAAGCATTTTAACTTATTCATGGCGCTCTAGATTAAAAAGTAAAAATTTAAATAATTTGGAGGTGAAATGTCAAAAAGTGACAAATGAGGTGTCATTGTACTCGTAATTGTTGAAATATGTATCCGAAAGGATAATATAATATACAAAAACAAATCTACCTTACCAGGAATCGACCTGAGAATTGACAAAGAGCAATAAACCCAAAAGGTTGGTATTTATTGCCTTATTTATTTATTGTACCTGGGTATTACTTTTTGCGTTGTAAATGTATTTTTCCCACACCCCGAAAAGGTTTAGGGTGTGAAGATGAAATATAAAAGCTAAAGTTAAGTTAGTCGTTCTGTTATGTTTTAAGACGAAACATTGAAATATATTATCGTGCCTTAAAACGTATCTATCGTGTTTTAATTAAACCACTGATAACCTGAAATATTTAAAAGTAATGTAGTTTTCTATTGAAATGAGGAAAAATTTACCTGGCGTCTCATTTAAAATAAGGAAGTTAGAGTCACTTCCGGTGAAATCGGAAGTGATAGTAAAAAATTGAATACGTCAAATAATGCACATGCATCCGGGTCATAAATAAACACACCAA